AAAAGATCATCTAGTCCAATCCCCCTGCCGGAGCAGGAACACCTAGATAAGGTTACACAGGAACGTGTCCAGGCGGGTTTTGAATGTCTCCAAAGAAGGAGATTCCACAACCTCCCTGGGCAGCCTGTTCCAGTGTTCCGTCACCCTCACTGAGAAGAAGTTTCTTCTCAGGTTTAAGTGGAACCTCTTGTGCTCCAATTTGTACCCATTACCCCTTGTCCTTTCATTGTTTGCCACTGAGAAGAGCCTGGCTCCATCCTCGTGACACTCCCCCTTTATATATTTATATACACTAATAAGGTCACCCCTCAATCTCCTCTTCTCCAAACTATAGAGACCCAGCTCCCTCAGTCTTTCCTCATAAGGGAGATGCTCCACTCCCTTAATCATCTTAGTTGCCCTGCGCTGGACTCTCTCCAGCAGGTCCCTGTCCTTCTTAAACTGAGGGGCCCAGAACTGGACACAATATTCCAGATGAGGTCTCACCAGGGCAGAGTAGAGGGGAAGGAGGACCTCTCTCGACCTACTAACCACCCCCCTTCTAATACAACCCAGGATGCCATTGGCCTTCTTGGCCACAAGGGCACAGTGTTGGCTCATGGTCACCCTGTCGTCCACCAGGACCCCCAGGTCCCTCTCCCCTACACTGCTCTCTAACAGGTCGTTCCCCAGCCTATACTGGAACCTGGGGTTGTTCCTGCCCAGATGCAGGACTCTACACTTTCCCTTGTTATATTTCATCAAGTTATTCCCCGCCCAGCTCTCCAGCCTGTCCAGGTCTCTCTGGATGGCAGCACAGCCTTCTGGCGTGTCGGCCACTCCTCCCAGCTTAGTGTCATCAGCAAACTTGCTGATAGTACACTCAATTCCCTCATCTAAATCGTTGATGAATATATTAAATAATACTGGTCCCAGTACCGACCCTTGAGGCACTCCACTAGATACAGGCCTCCAACTAGACTCCGCCCCATAGACTACAACTCTCTGGCTTCTCTCCTTCAGCCAGTTCACAGTCCACCTCACTACCCGATCATCCAGACCACACTTCCTCAATTTAGCTGTGAGGATGCTGTGGGAGACCGTGTCAAACGCTTTGCTGAAGTCAAGGTAGACCACATCCACCGCTCTGCCATCATCCATCCACCGTGTTATTTCCTCATAAAAGGCTACGAGATTGGTCAAGCATGACTTCCCCTTGGTGAAGCCATATTGACTGCCCCTCATAACCCTCTTAACCTTGATATGCCTTAAGATGGCACCAAGGATAAGGTGTTCCATCACTTTCCCGGGAATGGAGGTGAGGCTGACCGGTCTATAGTTACCCGGGTCCTCCTTCTTGCCCTTTTTGAAGACAAGAGTGACATTTGCTTTCCTCCAGTCCTCAGGCACCTCTCCTGTTTCCCAAGACTTGGTAAAGATGATGGAGAGCGGTCTAGCAATGACCTCAGCCAGTTCCCTCAGCACCCGCGGGTGCATCCCATCTGGACCCATGGATTTATGGATATCCAGATTGCTCAACTGGTCTTTAACCCATTCCTCATCTACTAAGGCAAACCGCTCCGTTGACCTATCTTCATCCGAGGTCTCAGCGGTACAGGGCTCTTCAGGACTGCCTCCGGCAGAGTAGACAGAGACAAAGAAGGCATTCAGTAACTCTGCCATCTCTGTATCTTCTGTCACCAGGGCACCCGTCCCGTTCATCAGCGGGCCTACATTGCCTCTGGTGTTAGTTTTACCTGCCATGTATTTGAAAAAGCTCTTTCTGCTGTCCTTGACCCCTCTCGCCAGCTTTAATTCCAAGGAGGCCTTAGTCATCCTAGCAGCTTTCCTACATCCTCTAGCAGCAGCCTTATATTCTTCCCAAGTGGCCAGCCCTTCCTTCCATGACCTGTAAACTCTCCTCTTCCACTTGAGCATACCGAGCAATTCCCTATTTAGCCATGCAGGTCTCCTGACCCTCTTCCTTGACTTCCTACGTGTCGGGATGCTCCAATCTTGAGCTCCTGGAACTTCATGGGCACACTGCCCTTACCCAGCTCCTCTGAGCCTTGTTTCATTACAGGAGTTTATGGTCAGTCACAGCTGACTTCAGGGGAAATGAATGAAGTAGCACTATGTGTAACTACGCTCAGGTGTTCAATCAACCCTAAAAATGACCTGCTTCCAAACAGGGCAGTAGGAATTCTCTAATCAAAGATAATGGAAAGGAACAACTTATTTCCATGTAGCTGCTTTCTCCCTGATCAAAATTCAATCTGTTGTAATTTCAGTTACCAAATGCCTCTACTGCTCTGCCCCCTCAGTTTGTGCAGTGATGAACCCTGCTGCTATGTATGCATTTCCTAGACATGCAAACCCTGTATAATTTTGGGGGGAAACATGATTTTACACCTTGAGCCATACATCCTGGAAGCAGAGCCCCAGCTTTCCCAAGGTGACTGCTGTTTTGATGTGTTTCCTTGTTTTCCTGAGGAATGTCAAACAGAAGAATGTTGTGACCACAGATGCTTCTAAAATGACAAGACTGTAACAAATCTTTGAAAAACAAATTCCTGCCACAACCTCTAAGTTTATCTCTCAGTACAGGAGATTACTGTAAGCATTCAGTCTTGCCCCACAACTTAAAATTACACCATCTCTTTCATGCTTTTGCTCTCCCCGTAAAACTATGTCAAAGGGCAGTAGAGCAGTCACTTGCTCAGAAAATCAACCTCTTGGTTTGTGCATTACTTTTGCAGCATTTTTTTCCTTCTCACCTGCTGTGTAGCAACCTGTCACCACAGGACAGTAGTGCTACCTGCCGCCATGGCCCTAAGGCCCGGTCCTCTGTGACAGGTGTATAGATTGTCTACCCCAGATATACTTCAGAGGGGCACAGACAGTACTGCAGCATCCAAGAATCAATCCCTGTCTCCACTGAACTCTCTACCAGTAAATCTCCTTGGGTTTTCTTTCCACAGTAAATATCACACAGCACTCTTAAATTATTTGCTACTGGACATAGGAAAAAAAGGCTACAACACAGGTAGGCTATCGCTGTGTAATCACACTCAACTCACACCAGCAATGGCTGTGACAGGTTCAGAGAGCACTCACATGGAATGACAGATAAGCTCCTGCTTTCTACCTTTTGTTTAAAGTGCAGGCTCAAAGTCTTTGAATCTCGTATCTGTTACTTTCATCCATTTGCATCCTACTATTCTTTATTATTATTCCCACCAAAATGTCTTCTGTTTTGGCAACCTTATCATAATATTTGACAATGTGTTGTTCTGTTTTTCTCCTCAAGACTGATGAGCATTTTTGTCTCAGATACTTTGGGGAGCATAAGTAAGAAAGCCAAATTTATTTATTTTTTCCTAACTCAGAATGTGTATCAATATATATTTTTGATTCTGCATTCTAACAGTTTCTTCTAGCGCTTCTTTCCACAGGCATTTTGTTTATTAGTAAGCTTTGAGCTGGTTTGTCCAGTTCACCAGGCACAGAACTCAAGCATTTCTACCTCCTGAGCTGTAGAGAGTGATGACTGAATAATGACAAATAATGCTAAGAACAGCATTATTTGACATGTTAACAAGAGGGAGGAAATGGAGCCTCACATACCACCTAGCCAAACAGCACTCCAACTCTGTACAGTTGCAGATGGCATGTGCCTAGGAAAATTCTGGTGAGCAAGATCTGAAGAAGTATGTGTACTGTCAGTAACTACGATGTCATGAGGATATAAACTCTCAGTTTCTGAGGCTAGTATCTGCAGAGCCCTACCCTACAGATACACTAAGTGACAAGTGAAGCCCAAGCTACAGTAACCATTCCCACGCTGACAAAGGAGGATGGGATGGCTCATATATCTGAAGGATGAGTCTGCAATTCATTTTAGATATAACAGCATATATCAACCTATAAAAATTGGTATGGTCCCCCTGTCTTCTCTATGGCCAGTATTTATCTCCATATCTCCAAAAGATTATTTTTTCCTCATTATTTTCCTGATTGTTTTAATGAGTAAAAAGGCACTATTCATTTTATGTTCACTTGTAAAAGTAGGTCCTTGTATTTAAAGAATAAGGCAGGAGAATATTTCTCTACTAGTGAGTACTTTCTTCCTTTTGTAAAGGCATGTTGCCTTGTTGGTACTTTTTCAAGCAACTTCTTTAAAAATCTTAAATTTTTGACCATACGTTCTTTCCCTCACTTAGCCACTGACAATTTATTGCCTTTACCTTGGCTTGGGGGTCTAAAGTAATGATCAAATATATTAAAAAATTGTGTTTTCATTCTAATCTAAAATACTGACTTCTTGCTTGGTGCTTTTCAATTCCTTTGCTAAAATTGCAAGCCAGAGAAGCCTTGATTAGAGGCCATACATGAAATCTGTACGTGTATGTCATTACTATGGAAGGCATAACATATAAAAGGCTTTGAAGTGTATATAAAGCTAGCAAATAAATTAATTAGTGTAATTATTGTAAGTCCTTACTCTAGGAGGTATTAAAGACATAAAATACCTAATTTGTATTTATAAAACATACCCCATTTTTCCTTGAAATGTACATGTCAACAGTGTCATTTTAATCATGTACTGACTGAGACAAGGAATCATTATAAAAGATAATCTTTATACTTGGTGCATTCGGAAAAGCAGGTAGAACCCTGAGAGGAACTAATGAGGTTAACCAGGGGACAATATAAAGTGACTTTCAACCTCAGTTATTTTCTTCTGTATACATATGGGCCTGTGACTCTATTCAAATGAATACATCAATTCTGTTTATTATTCACAGATTTCTTAAAAATGAAATCAAGTATCACTGATAATGAACTGGCTGTAATTTAACGAGTTACAAAGCAACTAGAAAAAGAGTGCTGCCTTCTACATGGAATATCAGAAAGCTACCTGACATTATGCATTAACATCATTTATTTAAAAAAACACTGTATTGCACAGAGATTACGTATTATATATGTATTTTAAAATTACCTATATATTTAATTCATCATTTTCTCATTAGTCTTTTCAAATTAGAAATACCATGAGAAATAGATACTGAAGACTGTCAGGGAAATCGTGGATTAACTATGAAAGATAAAATACAATTTTCAGAAAAAGGTTGGAAGAGAGGAACAAAAATGTGATTACATTTTAACGCAAAAAAAGTTATTTAGAATTAGTTTGGGTTTTTTTTCAGGCCTAACTCATGCTAGGGGTGACTTCCTCAAATATCATCTGTCTTCCCAGGATTTACTGCAAGTTTAGGTTCTGTTTCATAAATACAAAAATTTCTGCGTCCTGTTCCCCATGAAGCAAAGACAATTTAATGTTATGATTGTTGGTTTTCAACAGAATCATATATGAAGTGTTACAGATGTAAAACACCTTAGTTAAAAGCTGCTTTCTCCTTTAGCTGACACAAGGAACGATTTTTCCTGCTCCAAATTTTAACCCTGTTATGGATGCCCAGTTGCTAGGAGGAGCCCTACAGGGAATCAGTGAGTATCATGACTAATCCTAACACTTTTGTTGTTGTTGTTGGGGGGATGGGGCTGTTAGAAAGTTCTCAGAAAGTAAAAAGCATTTGGCAAAACAAAAGTTCACAAAATTAAAAATGTCACCAAATATCTGTTGATTCTTCAAGGTCACAATAAGATACTGGTGATGTCCAAACAAATAACATATTTGCATTTCCAGAAACTAAGAGGTGATTAAGGTTAATCTAAAATCTGTACCAACACTTACAGTAACAAATGCTTTGCTTGAGAAAATAAGAAAAAGAAAACAGAATTCTGTGTTAGTCACTACAGTGAAGGCCAAAAAAGGAAAGGTTTGTAATTGTAACTTCAAGAATTAATTATTACCAGGGACTGTTAAGTCTTTTAATCAGTCATCAAGAAATAAAAATTAATGGAGTAGAAAGTTACAGTATTATATTTCACTCAGGAGTAATTTTTGCTTTCAGTCTATGTACCAAGAAAAAAAAATTGTTCATCAAAGCATTGTTCTTTTTAGATCTTTGTGTTTTCCTGCTGAACATTGTTGGTATTGCTGAGGGTCAGAATATTGATTTCTTTTTTTTACTACCTGAAACATTTTCCTCACATTAAAATTGGTTTCTGTATCACAATTTTTATATCCCTTGGGCTTTTCACAGGGTTGTACAGCACCAAATCTTGCACTCTGTTTTCAGTTTCTTTAATGGAAATGTAAGGACTCAGACTTAAAGTCAAATGAAGCACAATGAGTATTATTGATCAAGGGGAATCTGAAGCATCTTTCTAATTAAGTTGGCTACAGATGAAAAGTTTTAAACATTTTGCTAAACTTCAAACAGTACTTTTAATGCCACGCCACTTACACAACAATGCAGAAATCATTGTCTTTATTTAATACTGTAAATACATGTGTGTTAACCTCACTTTTCATTTACCTAACAAAGTCCATGGAACAAAGTTATAATTTAAAGGACCCCTGGCAAAATAAAAAGTTCAGCTTCAGAGAAGTTTAAGTCTCCATAGCCTTTACAGGAACTGACAGCCTGACCCTGAATCTTGCACATGACGTTCATTCTTGTGAGAATGTTCAGTCACATACTGTCCCACTGATACCACCGGTACTACACAAAAGAATAAAGTTATTTAGGTTTTTAAACCTTTCCTGAATTGTTCTTGTCTTTCACTGTAGAGATGATATAAACTGTACAGATTCCGAGTGATCATTCTTTTCTAAAAAACATAGTAAGAAATCCTTTGTACAGTTGCAGCAATACTTCCATTTTGTGAGTCTGACGGAAATGAATCAGACTGATGTTAAATTGGTCTTACTAAAAAGCTGATGCAATTGTGGCTAGATGATTCAGAAGAAAGAGAACTCAACCTGCTGCATAATGAGCAAATAGAGACTTCCTCTGCCAGCTTAAAAAATATATATATATATTCAATGTCCAATTACATTTGTGTCAAAATGAAGCCTGTCAGTTATAGATCATATAATAAAATCTGCCTAAAGAAGCTGCAATAGGAACAGAATGTGTACCTGTAACACATATATACATGCCCATATAACAATGACTGGTAGAAACTTGAGAGTCTACTCTACTTCATTCAGATGCTAGCTGATCCCCATGCTTTCCAGCCTAATTCATCTCTGTGGCAAATATGATAAAGTCAATTGATTTATACCTGGAGATACATTTATGCTGGATTTCATTAAAATACTACTCAGGCATCTGAAATTTTCAAAAGCCAACTTTTGGGACGAAAGAACATTTTTAAGTTATACAATAGTTTTCAGAGTATATTTTTCATAAGCAGTAAATACTAATTCATTATAGAAGTTTAGCAGCATTCTCTAGCCATCATGCAAAAGATCATAGGTAACCTTCAATAATATGCCCTTGGAAATGGGTGAAAATATTATATTTTTTAAAAACTTCATAACTTATGCAGTTCCTTTGAAAATATGTATCTTTCAGTTTTTCAAATGGTCTGACCATCATTTTTCATCCCTGTAAGAGATCCCTAATCCTGAAATGACAATTTATTCAATATCAATAAGGCATACAAGTATGACTTCCCAGGCTCAGCCACAAACTCTGCTAATGTGCCTTGTTCTGAATAGATGAAAGCGTCTATCCATTTTATTGATGCTTTCAAATCCATTGAGCTTCAGATAAATGGTGATGCACCTGATAATAACTGGGTACTTCACTTTCTGCTAGTATTACACCAGCAAATGAAAGGTATATAAGCACTGTAAATATCACTGATGTTAGTAAATACCAGCAGGATATCAATCAATTTATCTGTTTTTTCAAGAAATAACTTTAATTTTCTTGAACAAAACATGAATAATCACAAATGTAAGTATGTAACAACACTTTGTTAATTTAGAGTCTGTTTTGTGTTTCTATTACAGGTTGTGAAAAAGATGTGTTGATTGATATCCTCACGCAGCGCTGCAATTCACAGCGGCTTATGATTGCTGAGGCGTACAGAGACATGTACGGCAGGGTATGACACAGCGCTTTGTATTTTCATTACTTCTGTCTCTCTTGTATCCGGTGCAGCTGCTCAGCCCTTCTCTCAGGTCAATCACTGGAACCAACAGCCTATCAGGCAGCTGGCTGGCACCAATAGACTGGCACACAACTTTGCTCATGTAACTACTGATATCTCTGAACGTTTCATATCGTCATTTATATAACAGCAGAAGTACATCTGCCACTCACAAAGTTAAATAAAGGGGACATGAACAGTTCCTAGTTCATTCTCCTCCTTTATTGACCAAAGCAGAATTTCTGGACAGACTTATTTCTTTGTCTATGTGCTTTTGCGGGGTTCTGCATTACTTCTTAAAGTTTATTGGAATACAAGGTAAAGAGTATTGCATTTGGGTTGAAACACCAAAGGGAAACACCGTAACAGCAATTACAAGTAGTTGTATCTGATGCACTTGTTTATATTCTCATTTCAAGCACCAACATTCTTAGACCTCATACCATGTAATTCCGTTCATACTCTAAGCACAATACTCGTCTGAGCTGCTTAATGTTACATTTATGAATCTCTGAAAGATGTTTCAAAAAATTTAGAATCACAGAAACAGAAAGGTTAGGATTGGAAAGGACCTTAGGATCATCTAGTTCTAATCCCCCTGCCATGGGCAGGGACACCTCACACTAGACCATATCACCCAAGGCTCTGCCCAACCTGGACTTGAACACCGCCAGAGATTTACCATTTCTTCAGGCAGCCTGTTGCAGTGCCTCACCCCCCTCACAGTAAAGAACTTCTTTTCCTTATTTCTAACTTCTGTTTCAGTTTAAACCCATTACCCCTTGTCCTGTCGCTACAGTCCCTAATGAAGAGATCCCTTTCTGGCATCCTTGTAGGCCCCCTTCAGATACTGGAAGGCTGCTATGAGGTCTCCACTCAGCCACCTCTTCTCCGGGCTGAACAGCCCCAACTTTCTCAGCCTGTCTTCATACAGGAGGTGCTTCAGTCCCCTGATCATCCTTGTGGACCTCCTCTGGACTTGTTCCAACAGTTCCATGTCCTTTTTATTTTGAGGACACCAGAACTGCACACAATACTCCAGGTGAGGTCTCACAAGAGCAGAGTAGAGGGGCAGGATCACCTCCTTCAACCTGCTGGTCACACTCCTTTTGTTGCAGCCCAGGATACGGTTGGCTTTCTGGGCTGCAAGCACACACTGAAGGTGGCTCATGTTCATTTTCTCATCGACCAACACTCCCAAGTCCTTCTCCTCAGGGCTGCTCTGAATCTCTTCTCTGCCCAACCCATAGCTGTGCCTGGGATTGCTCCGACCCAGGTGTAGGACCTTGAACTTGGCATGGTTAAACTTCATGAGGTTGGCATCAGCCCACCTCACAAGCATATCAAGGTCCCTCTGGATGGCATTCCTTCCCTCCAGCATATCAACTGAATCACACAGCTTGGTGTCCTCGGCAGACCTGCTGAGGCCGCACTCAATCCCACTGCCTATGTCACCAACAAAGATGTCACCAAAAGACCACTGAGGGACACAAGTTATTACTGGTCAATTAACGGGTGTTGAGCCATTGAATGCAACTCTTTGCAGGAGGCAATTCTGGCCAGACTCAATTCTAACTGGGCCTTAGCTTCCCTGACCTGATCCCTAGCTTTCCAGACAATGTCCCTGTATTCTTCCCAGCTTGTCTGTCCTTGCTTCCACCTTCCATAAGCTTCTTTCAAGACATAAAAAGACAGCTTTTTAAAAAAAAAGAACCAAAACAAAAAGAAAAAAAAAATTACCCATATTTACTATATATAAAAACATACACAGAGATAGTTATCCTCATTCTTTTTTAGATCTACTATTGCTAACTAAATGAATTTGGGAATGTTAAAATGCCTGCATTTTCTTCAATTACCTCAGCTATATAAGGACAAAATAAGTACATAAGGACAAAAATAATAGCAACACCTTTTGTAAAATCCAGCGATGAAAAGGGATGTATTGGAAAAGTAAAGAAAACACTCTGATTAAATTGACCAGACGTTCCCTTCCCCTCACAGAAGAAAGGCAAAAAAAAAAAAAAAAAAAAAAAAAATCCAATTTTTTCCTCCTCCTGAAGACTGAAAAACTAATGGCTCACTGGAAAATGCTCTGAAGGTCAGTGTATGGTTGCCATTGAATCCATCAGCATGAGTGAGGACAGTGAGTCTGCAGAAATACTACTGTGTAGCCATCAGCGTTAGAGTTAACTAGAAATGGATCATTCACAAACTCCACAGTAACTGCTGATGTGGTAGCGTGTTACACCACTTGTCTGTTCACCAGTAGATCAGTGTATTTTCTTTTTTGGATAGCTGAGCAGTTTTCTAGGATGGGATGTGTCTTCACCTGAACTGCTGCAGTTTACACTTCAGAAGACACTTTAGCACGCACTCGTGATAGCATTTCACTGGCTGTAATCCATATTACGGGACATACTGCATTGGGCAAATGTGCCATTTGGCAGTCCCAGTTCATGAGTGGCAAACTCTACACAACAGAGAAGACACAGCTAGGCAGTAACAATTTTAGCATTCTCAGTTTCATCTGTGGTAAACCTGTCAGTCCGATCCTAAACCCTCCTAATTTCAATTCATTCTGCTCAATATGGTTGCTACTGTTCTCATTCATTTGACAAATGTAAAGTGTGACACGTCAGAAGTAGAAATAAATATAAAAAAGAAAGTAAAACCCTGAACTGGCCTTAAGATTTCTTCTTACAATTAGCCTTCCAGGCTCCCTACAGCAGAGATGATTAGGAAATGTTACTAATGACAACTTAGTTGTCTTTTTTTATTTTTCAGTACTTCCCTTAGTTCTGATTGCAGGAGTAATTTTTAGCTATTACTAATCCATTTTCCCACAGGCATATTGTCAGAAGTAAAGTCTTAATGAATTAATTTCAATTTCATGTGTGATTTAGTGGCTGTCAAATGCATCCAATGTGCTTTCACTGAGGACTCTGTATGTTTCTTCATCATAAATTCAATTTTTAATGGGTATATGTCCCCATGCATTGCTGCTGTAGCTACTAATTTAATTATATTTAGATATGTATCAAACCCAAACTACAGGCTTGAAAAAGCTGCAGCTCCAGAAACAATAGTTTCTTTCATGGGAACTGTTTCGGGTACTCCTTTAAATTCAGACTTACGTCAGAAAATATCTGACAGCTGCCTAGCACCGTATGCAAGATACATGAAAAAAATGAGTGCACAAGTATCCTCTTAATCAGAAACTGTAACAGTGTAACTAACAAGCTTTGGCATTTGCACTGTTTTGAAGGATGCTATTGGGAAAGGGAAGAGTGAGAAGGAAACTCCCATCCATTACTCAGGTACCTGGCAAGCAAGTACTGAGACACATGCGGGGGAAGAAGAGGGTTCCTTTTTATTAATTCAGCATCTGTCAAAAGTTGTGAATTCACTTTCAGTGTAATATACACACAAACTGGAGCACATAACCAGTAATCCAAAGCAGGTATTTTTATGTATTAGAAGCAATGTGGATGATTTAAATTACTCACATAGTAGGTAACACTGAAAAAGGCACAAGAAACTGAGTGTGTTCATGGGATTTGACTTCCAAAGGTGCTTTGCTCCCACAGATTCACACAGGGAATGTGCCAAGGGAGCTGCAGATACTTTGCAGTGGTATTCAAGTTGACGAACCTTTAAGTAGTAGTAGCACTTAAAGCCCTGAATTTTCTTGTCTTCTAATGAACCAAAAATCAACAATCCTATATGGTCTGCTGGCTTGTGTATCTATTGTCACCTCACCCATACTATTAGAAGAAGTAGGTACTATTTAAAAGAGTATCTTTCTTAATTTTAGCCAGAATTAATCTTCAACTGGAACACAAGAGGTTCCACTTAAACTTAAGAAGAAACTTCTCAGTGAGGTGACGGAACACTGGAACAGGCTGCCCAGGGAGGTTGTGGAGTCTCCTTCTCTGGAGACATTCAAGACCCACCTGGACACGTTCCTGTGTAACCTTATCTAGGTGTTCCTGCTCCGGCAGGGGGATTGGACTAGATGATCTTTTGAGGTCCCTTCCAATCTCTAATAGACTGTGATACTGTGATAGTTCATCTTTATTCATTTGCAGAGAAAATCACAGGTACGTTTTTAAAGTTGTCCTAATCAAGTGTGACTACTGAAATAATCCTGTCTATGCCTTTTCTTTTTATTTTCAAGGATCTGATAACGGACCTAAAGGAGAATCTCTCTCATCACCTGAAAGAAGTCATGGTTGGCTTGATGTATCCACCTGCCTCCTATGATGCCCACGAGCTCTGGCATGCCTTGAAGGTACCTGTCAAATTCAGCATTTCTTAAGAGTCTCAGTCACTAATTACAGTACTGAACATGTTAAATTGCTTTTTTTTTCACATTCAAAAAGTTGATAAACAGCTGGAAGTTAATACACTGGATAGTGTACTACTACATAGTACTCTAGTTCATCAGAAATACAGTGCTATATGAAGTTTATTCAACGGTATGCTAAAACCATCATCAATAATACCCTTGTCATGTAATAAATACAACCTATTTAATACCCATGGTAAACTCAGTAACTGAAGAAATATTTATACAGGGAAAAGGCCCTGATCCTGAAAGCATGTATGTATGTCACAAACAAAATTAATTGGAGAAACACCTCAGAAAAAGAAAAACAACTTTTTTTTTCTTGTCCTTCAAACACTTAAACCAATGCATTTTTTAGTACTACTGCTTCATTTTTAATTGTGGTTGGCATTAAAGAATTGTGAAATATCACTGGTAGCACTGCAGGCATGATTTTTATTAAAACTATTGACAAGATTGCTAAAGTTATATTTTTTCTAAATGTAGCTCAAAGTTGAACTTTCTTGATTTTAACTTTCTATCTTGACCTGGATTTATACAGCCAAAGTGAAAAACAGGCTACGTGTGTCTCCAGGCTCAGGCCCAATGTCATGTTCTCCCCATTACCCTAAATGCAGAATACTCACCAACACCACACCTGTGCATATTAGAAGCTGCCTTTTTTGTGTCAATTCAAGTTTACAAAATTAACTCAAATTTCGTGGGAAAATACAGTGATTTGCAGCTCTGCATACATGACCATACTGCTTACCTTAAATAACAAGTTCTGCAGTAGACATAGAGTCCATTAATATTCCTAAATAAATAAAAATAAAATTAAAAAAAGCAAAACGTAATAGTTGTGCTCATATCTACTTCAGATTGCCTGAACACTTGATTGCTGGGGATATATGCTCAATCTTTGCATCTGATTTCTTTCAAATTCTTACTAAAGCTCTAAAATTCTACCCATTATGTTTCTGTCAACACCAGTCTTGCTTCATTCCCCTCTTGTTAATGTACATGCTGAAATTCAGATCAAGTAGGAATTTATTTGAAATACAGGGCTCTATTATTCATTTGAAGTCATTTTCTATTTAAACAGGTAGACTACACAAAAAGCACACTCTGCTTCGCTCCAACAGAAACTGCTTTTCATTCTTTTGTTACTTCTGATAAGCACAGTACTGCTGTCTTCTAAAAGCTGTGGTTTCTACTAACAACTTTTCATACTTAATTCTTTCCACACAGGGAGTAGACACAGAAGAAAAATGCCTAATTGATATATTAGCCTCAAGAACAAATATCGAGATCTTCCAGATGAAAGAAGCCTACTTAATGCGTAAAGTGTCTTACAAGTGTAACGTAGTAGTTATACTATGTGTTCTCCCAAAGTATTAGCACATATGAAGGAACTGAGCTACAAAAATGATTTCTCAGTACTACCTTGTTCCCTTCCCTCTATGAACTATATTCAAAAGGCTGGAGCAGAATGTTTTAATTTGAAAATACACCACGGGATTTTGAGATGCATTGCTGCCTATGACATTTGAAATACTCTGAAGACACATTTGGGGCTTTTCAGAGACTTCTGCATGCTTTATTCAAAAAAAGTACAGTAGCTGTTTTCCTTCCAAAAGTCCTTACTCAGGCTGGATGCTCCACTCACCTGCCTTGATGAGACATTTGAGTATCCTGCCACCACACAGCACCCATGGGTGGGTGGAGAGGTGAGGCAGAGCACAGGCTAAGGCCCCCCAGCAGGCAGAAGCACCTGGCAGGCCCCAGACAGACCTAGCTCCATGTAGAACCTGCTCTGGGTTACTGTGGAACAATCACCACAGAAAATGGACAAGTATTTGCACCCTATTTATTTTTCCTTTGTTTGCTAGATTAGTGCTATTCAGAATATGTTCATTAGTGATTTAGATTATATGTTTTTTGGTTCACCCTAGAATATAATAATGATCTTCAACAAGATATCGATTCTGAGACTTCAGGCCACTTCAGAGATACACTCATAAACCTTGCTCAGGTACCGTAAGAACAAGTAGTATACTTGCATTTCTAAAAAATTCGTAATAACTTTTGATAATATTTAAGAAGTCTTAAAATTTAAGGTGACTGTGATTACAGCTATTTCAATAGGGCTACACTTTTGAACAAAAGAGAGTGGAAAGCAAAAGGAGAACTTCAATTCCTTCATCTACTTTGACTTTTGCGTTCAGATGGAGGCAAAGGTCAACAGACTATTTTATTGAGTAAGTTGCTGGATATTCAACTGCTGGCCCTCTGCTCAACCTGTCTCATCTCAAAAGGAGTCTGTGTGCATGCACAAATGAGCTTTTCATTTTTAACTCTTTTCTCCATTGTCAGGATATACAGTTCATAATTCAGTCTAGGCATTATGTAAAAAGGAGATATATCCACATTTGACTATGAAAGAAAGCATTTAATAGTTCTTTGCTTAAAACATTATATTCTTTGTGCTACTGCATATGCTAAATCACAATACTTTTGCATGGAGGCAAATTCTCACTATCAACACACCAACTTTGGCAGTTACCAACTTGGAGTTTTATATTACAATGTTGGTCAACTTTGTCAGATAATGAGTTCCAATTCTCACTATAGTCACTGTGCTCATTATATTAAAAGTCCTTTTTAAACAAAAGTATAGTGACAAAAAAAGACTGCCAGGAGATAACAGCATACACAAGGCATAGCATAATATATATGCTGTACATACATCAATACAGCATATATAAGACATATCTGTATTTTTATATATGTGTGTCTGGGGAAAACATTCTTAGTAAGACCTAAAATAGCAGCAGACTTCACTGAGATACAGAGATAAAGAGAAAATGTTTCAAATGTAGAAACTATAAACAGGAAGCATTTTCTTCTAATGTTGGATGTTTTTTCCCCCTAATAATGTAAATTTATCCCTGCTTAAACATGAAGAGCTACAGGTTAAGCAACCTCACTTCTCATCTATATTAAATAAATGAGACACATTTTACTCATCAAAAGAACACATTTAAAATAGATTATCTGGGACTACATTATTAGTCCTTGTTTTCTTAAAGCACAAATATTGATAAAAGAGGTCTGGGGCAACTCTGATAAGAAATAATCAGTGAATGTCAAATGTTACTCTTACCCTTGTTTTCCCCTCATAGTTACATATTACAGTAAACAATATAACATCAGTAATACTGGAAATGGTGATGGGATGGGGGTGGTAAAGTAAAAGCTCATTTAAAATGGGACTAAAAAAGGGGTAGGCTTACCCACTTCCTCCATTTCTTCTACTCACAAGACCATGAGTCATTCCAGAGTTCCTCTTCTTGGAGGAAGTGAAGATACAACACCACAACTTGAAGGTATTTTCTACAGTTACAAATTCAACCACTGAATATACTGATCCAATCTAAAAGCCCATATGTGTATCTTTTTTCCCCCCAGGGAACAAGGATGGAAGGTTATGCAGATCCTTCTACAGCTGCTCAGGATGCAATGGTAAACATGCGCTCCTCTCAAAAAAAAAAAAAATGTTGAAAAGTGATTTAGGACTTACTTAAAATCTTCTGCATTTTTTCCCTTTTCTGATATGTTAGATTCTATGGGAAGCATGTCAGCGAAAAACAGGAGAACATAAAAACATGCTGCAAATGATTCTCTGCAACAAGAGTTACCAGCAGTTGTGGATGGGTAATCCAGCAGTTCAGCTGTTTGAACAAAAGAGTGGAAAGGAAAAATCTTGCTGTGTAGCTAAACTACGGTTTACACACCAAGCAGCTCAGTCTGCAGCAGGGTATTAGCCTAAAACCTAAGTGCAAACTGTTGGAGTTCCCAAACTCCCACTGATACTAATGGGACTTTGGAAGTAATGCAGAATTTTGAAACTTAGCCTGATGACTACAGATATCTGTAGATAGGACAGACATCAGGATGTTCAGTAACAGAGAGAAGAATGCATGACCAAAGAAAAGCATACACTATGCCTGCACTGAGTTTACACGCAGCACAAGGAGGCAGATTTTTCTTAATTATGTTCTCCATAACTAACTCTGTTATGAGGGAAAACACCTTGGGAGAGGCAGTTGGAGTATTTTCAACAAATGTTTGTATGTGAAAACACGTTAGTGTGTTATAGCTTTTCCCTGGAAGTTTCAAAGAAGTTTTTGATGGGAGCACTTCAGGGTCCACATCCGCTCTCTTGTAACAAACATACACACAGAAACAGAAGCAGAATGGAACATTTTTATTTAAAATAAGTAATAAGACATAACTACAGATGGCAAGAAATTTATGTGAGATCATCCAGATCTTCCACTGTAGAAAAGAAACCTGTTGTATCTGGTTGGTGGCAAAAAGTCTTTGCTCTGCAGTGAAAAAATAGTCTGTTTACCACTATGCTGCCAGATCTATTTCTTATGTCAACTTCTAACAGTAGCTTAGAACTACTTTGCTGTCATGGATCAACAACTTAATTCTTCTGTTATGATCTGCTCTCTTTCTGCAACAGTGATTTGAGGGCTCTGCATGTAATACAATCCTCTGTAAGTTTTCTAGTAAACAGTGAGTTGAAAATTTTCCCCCTTTCCTAAAGGAGAAAGCAAGCCCTGTGTATTTGTGTGTCTGGATACCTGCATTATGCCAATTTTAGCCAACCTGAGGAAGGATGTTGTCTCAATGACATGACATTCTTATGAGTTTCATAAACAGAGGTTGCTAGGTAGAGAATTTATTAAAGTCCCCAGTGAAACAGAGGAAACAGAGGCTTTGGCATGCATTCATTGTACACTGGAGAACCCAGAGAGAGAATGTCCTGGAAGGCAGGTTTCAGGCTATTCCTTTAGATTGCCTCACCTGGGGAATATAAGCCTAATGAAACACTGAGAATAGATGGGGGGGGGGGGGGAAATAACTCCATAGTTATAGTACTGGGGGTAAGAAGGAAAACACAAGCAAGCTGATCATTACTAATAAACTAGAATAAAGCAAGATTCTCTCTCCCCACCCCCCCTCAGTTTTTCAGGAGTTCCAAAGTATCTCTGGGCAAGACATCGTAGATGCCATTAATGAATGTTATGATGGATACTTTCAAGAATTATTGGTTGCAATAGGTAACGTAAAAATATTATTTTACACCAGCAGTAATCTCTTAAGATCTAGTATGGTATCGCTGATGTATTAAATGTATTATTTTCTGATCTTTTTATTCACTTTACCCTCCTATATTGTGTAACCGGATTTCCAGAGATCATTAGAAAGGAATATGTGAACTATTTTTCCACGTTTGTGTAAATCTAAAAATGTGTATGTGCAGCACTAGCTTCAGACTGAGCAGAACTGGTATCTGTTATTTGATTACAAATTCTGTTGATTGATCATAACTGTATAACCAACTGAATCTACACATTAACTAACTGGCAAAGTTTTGGGGACTTCAGTGGTATATAAAAAAGTTCCAAGCTTTATGTGCCTTTGTTTTCCATTTATAGAATAATGATAATATTTCTACAAAGATGTTATGTGAGTATATTCACTAATACTTAGTAAGTCCCTTGATGCAAAAGCAATGGGCACCCACCCCAAATAAATACCAGAGTTTTAAAATTACAAATATAGTTATGTTTGTGAAGACAGGTAAATGATTTTAAGATGAGTCATGGACCACACTACCCAGCTTTGTACTGACTATTATTAATGAACTAGAATAAAGCAAGATTTTCTTTTTCCCCAAGTTTTCCAGGAATTACAAAATATCTCTGGACATGACATCACAGATGCCCAAAGCAAACAGAAATTGTTTTATAATAATCTTATGTTTACTTGTTGCAACTTTTCTCTCCTAGTTCTCTGTGTTCGTGACAAGCCTGCCTACTTTGCTTACAGGCTTCATAATGCAATTCATGTAAGTAGTCTTTCTTCTTCACCTATCACACAACCTAGCTTCCCTATCTTTATGTCTGGTTGATTATTCTTAAGAACTTACAAATCAGACCAATCAATCTTTAAGGTGTGACTGTGTATTTTAAGACTATTGTTGGACACATACATTTCAAAGCAGCAGTGGCTAAGCAACAGTTAGGATATAACAGTAACAATAAAAGTTTAAATATTTAGATTCCTTAAAAAGGTATCTGCCTGGTAACTTTGTTCTCTTTTTTTCTGACTTGAAAACCTTTATTTTCTATGGATTATATCTCCCCCTGCTGTGCAGAACTCAATGTGCACTTTTCTTACTATGCAATTTTTGTCTTTAGTTTTCACTAGAGACAGTAAAAATCAAATCATAAATTAATGTTACATAAACAAAATTGGTCATACTTTCTTTGGGGATTCGATGTCTCAAGTTCTTTTTGTGTGCACATACTAACATACTAAAACAAATGAGAGAGAAGAAGAAATGTGAGTAAATGCAAAGAAACACCTACAAATTCTTCTTATTAAAGGTCACTGAAGACATATTCTTTTTTTTTGTTTTGGGGGGTTTTGGGTTTTTTTATTCACTAGTGAAAATAACGAGGCATTATGTTACGTAAAATTGAAGTATACTCTGTGAAGGCTAATCTTTTAAGTGTATAGGCCATAATGGTTTATAAGACAGATTTAATATAGCCATCAAGCATGTATGGAATTCTCTATATGCAGCTTTTTAACACTTTTTTTTTTTTTTTTTTGAGAACAAGATTTCAGAATCAACGGCTGTTGATAAAACTACGGTTTAGCTTTAAACGATCCAAACTGTTCGTCAGTTGCCCAAACAAAATTTTTCTTATGACTTTCATTGTCACTAGATGTCCCCATTCTCCACAGTTACATTATGACAAATTGTTTGGACACAGTTAATATAAAACATAGCTGAATACAAGCCATGTAAATTCTAAATCACTGGTTTAAAATCTGCACTCACATTTGGCAGCAGTTGTGAGCTAGATCATTGGCTTCAGTATAGTTTGAATGGACTGCACAACAGTCACAACACCTGCCTACAAACTGAGTACCTAAGACTACTGACAACAGTTCATCAGGTGTTTCTATTCGAAAGTTTCCATTCATGGTCAAATCACTGATATGTGGTGAATCTCTGTTATCCAGTAACATGAATTATATTATTTGAGCATGTGAAAACTCTGTAGGATAAAACCTTTGAATGCTTAGACTCTTTCTTGGATCTCTTTATGGAGAGCCTAAGTAACTGCCTTACGTATTACCTATTAATATGAGCATATATAGATAGGCAAACACATACTGTCCAACTGCCAAGTAGGCTCTTCTTTTCTTTCTAGGATTTTGGGTTTCACAATAAAACAGTTATAAGGATTCTGATTGCTAGGAGTGAGATCGACCTGATGACCATACGACAGCGATACAAAGAGAGATATGGGAAATCACTCTTTCATGACATTAAAGTAAGTTTTTACACACCTTTGCGTATATTCAGCAATGGCACCACACAGGCTGTGACAAGCCCTACCACAAAAATACAAAGTGTTAATCTCCCTTAAATCACTCAGTTTACAAAAAAAAAAAAAAAAAAAAAAAAATTAAAAAGAGCGATGTGTCAAAACAATAGTATATCTTAGAATCATAGAATAGTTAGGGTTGGAAAGGACCTTAAGATCATCTAGTTCCAAACCCCCTGCCATGGGCAGGGACACCTCGCACTAAACCATGCCACACCCATCTTCTCAGTTCCTGAAGGTGACTTCAGTCAGGGAACAGTGAATTCTCAACTCACTCTCATTCCACGTGATTTTGTCCCGCCCCTATAGCAAGAGGAGGATAGAAACAGGGTAGGACAGTATATGATGAGGAGTAGTATGCATTAATAGTTTCTACAGTACTTGGTACCACCTTCTTTCACACACTCTGGAAAAGTTTGGCTAATACCACTTTTGTGCAAAACTGAGATAAAAATCTGCATTTATGTAGTCTAAACCTTTAGAAGAATTATTTCTCTTGTACTCTTGCTATGGCACTGTTTAATTGTACAAAAAGGACCCTTGCTAAGACATTTTACCTTTTTTATGTTGCTCTAATCCAACTGTAAGCGTGCAGTAACTCTAGAAAATTGCTTGTGATTTTTTGGTATTGAGAAGTGTTAAACAGATTTGCTCCTACCTTTCAGAGGCAGAATGCCTCTAGGTGGCCAAGCAGACAAAGCCCAAGGTATGTGAAATTAAAACAATCTTAGCCTGGAATTATTGGGAAAACAGTGAAGTATTTTACAAAACCTCACATCATCAGTCTAGTCCTTGTCACACACCAAGAAAATTAAAAAAACATACAGTTACAGAAATGTTCCTTTTTTTTTTCTTGCAGCATTTTGCTTCAGGGCATTATGAGAGTGCTTTACTTGCCATATGTGCTGGTGATGCTGAAGATTACTAAAGAAGATGAACTTTGAAGACTGTATAAATCTATTCTAAATAGAAACTGAAGGTATATGTAACACACTAACTGTAAGAGACCCTATTCTGTTTCTAAAAAATGAGAACAGAGTAGTTCTGATTTTTTTAAACAGAAAAATCACTGCTATACATTTGCTAATATTAGATCTTTCTTGAGACAGGAAAAAATGTTGGCAGGAACATGATTCTTATCTCTGGTTCTGATGAATATTTGTTTCTATGATTAATGTAAATTAATGAAGCAAGAATTAAAATAACTGCATGTAAGTGTATGTTTATCATTTAGTTCCACAACTTCCTAAACTTTACCTGACAATAGTCTCTGGAAAAACCTATTCACTTCCACATTGGAGAGAAGAAAAGCTTTGTTTTACTTACTTTTTGGAGCACAATTTCTCCCCATAAGTAATTTCTTTCACACTTCTTATACCTCGTGTTTTATGCTCTTAAATATTTAGTTACTACCAAACTAAGAATCTACCCCATTCTATTGAGAATGCTTTTGTATTCTCATAGTTACTAACATTTCCTTCTTTCTATTTGAAACTAAAGAAAATATTGAAATCAAGTATGCCAAACAATTCTTTATTTAGTGCCACGCTCTGGAAACCCCTGGAAGAGGAAGCATTATATAGCTTGGAGAGAACTGTAGGAAGATTAAACATTTAAATTCCATTTACGTTTCTCTCATTTTAATAATTAACTGAGTATTAACCTTCAGAGCACTGAGGTATTTCCAGGATGCGCCAGACGGTATATTTAAGGAGCTGAACAGTAGTAGGTGACACACCTCCAAATGAGATTGTTCAGTGTGGAGAAGAGAGGACTCTGCGGAAAGCTTGTTGTGGCCTTTCAATAAATGAAGGGCATTGTAAGAAAGATGGGGAGAGCCTTTTTACCAAAGCCTGTAGTGATGCTGCAAGAGTCAATGGCTTACAACTAAATAAGAGGAGATTTAAATTGGACATAAGGAAGAAACTGTTTATAATGAGGGTTCTGAGACACTGGAATAGGTTTCCCAGTAGTGGAAGATGTGGATGCTCCATTATCAGAAGTGTTCAAGATCTGATGGGTGTCTGAAAAACCTTATCTAATGAAAGATGTGCCTGTCCACAACTAGGGAGTTAAGACAAGGTGGTATCTAAAAGGTCCCTTCCAACCACCACCCTTCAATGAGTTTGTAAGTCTAGGCCAATGTGTCAGCATTAACAAAACCCCAAGCTTAAATTACGATTCTGCAGCTGTAGTACAGGGGCAGTTAACACCAGCCGTACCTCAGCCCTGTGGAGTCACTTGGCTCCAGCTCTGCGCACCCGCACGTCTCTCAACCGCCACTGCCGTGCTCGCGCCGCGCTTCCACAGAGCGAAGCCCGAGGAAGCCTCAACACGCTCGGGGCAGGAACTCCGCGTAGTGCCTGTCACAACATGGCTGCAGTGGGGCCAGCGCCCGGCACGTGACCCTCACACACTGGGCAGGGGGCGGGTCCCAGCACTCTCCGCCCCGCCCGGGGCAGTGGTCACACACGGACAGCCCCGCGCCACGCCCCCATGGTGCCTCACGGCCCCGGCTGCTCTGACTGGACAGCAGCGTTGTCAATCTCGGCTTTCCCCCAATCGCCAGCGCGTCCCTCCTAGCCCCCTGTTCCCGCCTCCGGGTTCCACTTCCTGGAAAGTTGGCGGTTGGAAGCGGAGGTTGAAGTTGGACGTTTGAGGGGTACTGGGTTCCCGTGCCGGGGTCCGCCGCCTCTAAGCGGGGCTGCTCGCTGCCGCCACGCTGGAGGCGGCGGGACGGCGCGACGAGCAGGGGGCAGCCTGTGAGCCGGGCCTGGTGCAGCGGGGTGAGCCGAGACCGCCTAGTCGGGCCGCCTGCGAGCCCAGGCAGCAGGAGTGGCGGCCCCGTTCTCGGCCGCCCACCTACTTGTTACAGATGGAGGCCAGCCTGACGTGCGCCGTGTGCCTGTCTCTCTTCGAGGAGCCGGTGACGCTGCCCCTTTGCTCGCACAACTTCTGCCGGGACTGCGTGCTGGAGTGCCTGGCTTCGGCCGAGGCCTCCCGCCTGCAGCAGCAGCGGGGTCAGGGGCAGTCCCGCCACTCCCGGGTGGGTTCGGGAGCTGGCGGCGACGTGGCCGGCGCCCGGGTGTCGTGCCCGCTGTGCAGGAAGCTGTGCCCGCTGCCCCGGGGCGGCGCCGCCGCGCTGCCTGTCAACACCACCCTGGCGGAGTTGGTCAGGCTCTACCGATCCGGCACGGCCGGGACCGCCAAGGTCGAAGAGGCAGAGCAGGGGCCGGGGTTTCCACTCTCCCTGCAGGCTCTCGGGGGAACCTGCCAGAAGCATCCGGGACGGCTGGTGCAGCTCTACTGCCGGATGTGCCGCCAGGCGGGGTGCGGGCTGTGCGTCTCTAAGGAGCACCAAGGCGTCTTCCACTCCGTCAACCTCATAGACGCTGTGTACCAGGAAGAGAAAGTAAGTGCGGCGCTTCCTCTCCGCGCTGGGGCTCTGGCTGGGAGGTTGGGCTCTCCTACAGGGTATCCTTCCTTGCCCGAAGTGCTTTTACTCAGGAAATGCAGGGAAAAGCGCTGTGTAGTGGACAGGAGGGAGGCAGCGAGGGATTGTGTCTCTTTGAACCAGGTGATCGGATTTGCTTTTGGAGTACCGGGGTGTGCAGTCAGACCTCATCCACCACATACAGGGGACCAGGCGATTTTACAGTGCCAACAGATCCGAACCCAACTTAAGAAGCATCTGAAGGGGGGGGGGGGGGGGAATGAAGGAGGGAGTGTCTTGCTTTAATATACAGACCTGCATTCTTTGCTTCTAAAACACACCCATGCTGAGAGTTTATTGCGTGTCCAGATCCAGTTTTTCCAAGTTCAAAACAAAAGCCCCACCCACAGATACTTTGTTTATAGGCTCTCTAAGCTGGCATAGGTAATTTGGGTCACAGATAATTACATATTTAGAAATAGATGGGTTAGGTAAGTAATAATAAATGTAAAACCAAAATGCACTCCTGTATGAATGAAACCAACTGCCTTGCCTAGTGCTTGGTTGGCTGATTGTAGTGACAAGTGGTTGTGCTTTTTGACAAAATTGGGTAGAACGAGCTTTTTGTGCCGTATGCAAATGGGGTGCAGGGTGGCGAGGCATGTCGGTTCTGCTATGCAGTAATGGAAGCTGCTGCATGAAGCATATAGGTGTAAAGGTTTAAGTACACTACTGACTATTCTTTAAGCTAAGAGCTGCTTTTGCACTGATTTCTCTCTTGCCTCTCCCATCGCCAGTTACACTTCACTCTGGAAACCCAAGGAAAATAGTATTTGCACTAGGCTTCTTACCTAAATCTTAATGACACTAGTGAGATAAAGGAAGAAAACACAGTGATAATCTTAGTTCAGAACCAAACAATAACTGACTTATGCACAGCTTTCTGTTTTATCAGTGTGAAGCATAAAAGCCTGTCAATATTGTGTAGTTGCTTGTCAAACTGGAATAACTGTGTTAAAACTTACATTGAGATAGACACGTGTGTGAGGGGAGAGGTGAAAAGCAAAGGCTGAGGGAACCGATGTTTTAACTATAAAGTAACCCTGTAGCAAGTCTAGCAATATATACTGTAGGTGAGCATTACTTGGAGAAATAGCCAAAGAAAGTTTGTGTACTGAACCAAGAAAGCTCTAAATGCTATTAAGAGATCTTTTAAATCGCAGGCTTTCTTTAACGTCTTGTACAGAGCATGCCATGATATGATCCTAGATAACCACTGAGATGTATTTACTTTATGGAGTAGATAAAGCAATGATAAGCATTTCAATTGTCTTGCAGTTAACCTTCTTCAGCAGTCTGAAAAAAATGAGAACGATAAATGAGAAGCTGACAAATGAAATCTCGAATCAACTGAATGATATGGATGTGAGTTACAGATTCTCGATATTATATATGTGTGTGTCTTTGTTTCTTTTCTCATGGTAGGTTAATCACAAAATGGAGCATACTGGTGCTTCTTTGTGGCATAAATGTGCTTTGAGCTTCCTCAGGGAAGTGACTCCTTGTGACTCCTCCTGACTAGGGAAGTGTCTGAAGACATTATTACTGTGTTTTCATCTCGTTCTATGTTCTGGTGCTTCTAGATGGCACTGAACAAGGATGCTGACATGATTGCACTGGAATTCAGAGAAATCTTCAAGACTCTGGAAATGAAGAAACAGCAATTGCTAGAAGATGTTGAAAATCAAAGAAGTAAAAAAGAAAAGGAATTCGCGATTTGGAAGAAAATGAAGGAAACTCACAAGAAGACCATTGAAAATTTTCTGAAGGATTGTGAAGAGCTTGTCCATGAGTGTGATCCTCAGCGTTTCCTAGAGGTGATGGCCTTTTTCTTACCGTTTAATATCAGTTGTATAATGAACCTCAGATATAGCCTCCTGTATAGTAGGTTATGATTATAAAAATTACTGGGTTAGGAAAAACAAATTCAGCAAACGAAAAATACAGACTAAAATTATTTAACACTTCATATTTTTTATAACAGTGCTTTTCATTTTAGAAAAGTTGAAAAAACTTTATTTGCAGCTTATATTTAGTGAGTTCAGTAGACATTTAGGCTCTTCACTGAAAACTACTTAAATTGACTGTAAAGCTGCTGCTGTAACACTTGCTATATTATATTAGCAGCTGTGAAAGTTTTGGTGCAGATAGGGAGTAATTTTCTAGTACTGCCTTGAAAATTCTCCCATTTATTTGTTTTTTAATATTTATTTTCAAGTGCTTTGTTTATTAAGCACTTCTGGTGCATCTCTGAACTTGTAAGACACTAAAAATGCTGTTTGGGGAAAGATTGGTGGCAGATTTGGTAACCTGTCAGTGCTGCACAGCAGGGTACCATGTTGAAACCTGTGAACTTTGCACAAATGTGTGCAGTGGAAATAACTCAGCCTATTTAAGGCTGGCTTGGGTACTTCTGACATACACTGTGTTACATAGTATACATGACCCTGAAAGTCTCCCTCATAGGGTTCAAGGGAACTGCAGAAAAGAAACATGCAATCCATTTTAGAGATGAATGCTAGAGGAACGCAAGACACAAGCTTTATCTTCACTGTTACCTAAACCATCAGACATCTTTTTATAACCTTTTATGTGCAACACTGGCTGCAGTTGTACAGAATTTAAGCAGATGGTAGATATGGAGCAAATACTTTAATAGCTATTGAATTTTGTGTTCAGTTTCAAGGCTTGTGCTTTCCTAAAAAATCACAGCATGTTCTTT